TTTTGACTTAATTTTCTTTTTTTCTTTTTTTTTTGTAGAATAATTAAATAAGTATATCATTTGATAGATACGGAACCAGGTAATGATAATGTGATAACATTGGATGAATGGTGTGATTGCTTTGCATGGGCTGATGATGATCATCATGAACCACCATGTCATGCGGTAAAACATCAACAAGATCCGCATTTATTAGGTTAGTAATATAAAATGTATTGATGTTATCAGTCATTTCTTATATATTTTTATCAATTAACTGATCAAAAGACATCCAAAAAGAATCCGAAATCAATTTATCAGTTGATACTATTAACTAGAATTTGATAATGATACTGTAAAATGATTACCTAAAGATTCAATCAATGATATTAATCTAGTGTTTAAAGAATAATTTAATTTGAATTGCATATATTTTTCATTTCATACGTTAAAAAAAATTTTCTTTTTACTGTATGATTGTTTTACTACGATACTGTATACCCTACCTTTTATTGTGATAGATTTTTTTTTGTATAATAGATATTTTATCTAATATATACGGTATTTTCAGGAGTTTTTCATCCACGTTGTACATTGGAAGGATATTATAAGGCAGAACAGTGTCATGAGAATTCTTGTTGGTGTGTTGATAAATATGGTCGAGAATTTGATAAATCACGGGTAATAGGTCGTCTTCCAGATTGTGGACAATATGGTATACTTTTGTTACTTTTAAAAAAAAAAAAAAGGAAAAAAATCCTAAAATGTGCAATTTAAAATAAATTCTAGCGATAATCAATGATTGATTTGCTTTTTTAGCGACCGAAATGGATGAGGATGAAAAGGAGGATCTTCTGGCAGAATTGTAAATCTACAAGGACCTTCTGGCAGAATTATGAATTCAGAAGTGTTTATGACGGAATTTGTCAATCTAATCTTTTTTTTTTACTTCATAAATTATTCCTTTAATAATAATGTTTTTTAATGAAATAATAAACTAACAATGCGTTTATATACTTTATTAGTTGCGTCAAATGTATCATTCCTTCAAACATTAATAGATTACAAGTTAAAGATCAAATCGACATTAAAGAACACAAATTAAAGATCAAAGCCACATTAAAGATCACAAGTTAAAGATCAAAAAACCATATTAAAGATCACAAGTTAAAAATCAAATGATTTTATTTTGTTTTCATATCATACACCAAATTGGATAATTTTTTGAAGCATATCAAAATGTTCTTCGACAATCGCATTTCGACATGCTGAAATTAATCGACTAGCTGGTACACCAACTGAAAATATGAAATATTATCCAAAGAGGTCTTGAGATAAACTTAAAATTAACTAGTTTAATAATTTATGTAAAGACAATGATATGTCTTAAAAAGGAAAATGAAATTTAAGATTTTGATGAAAATACCGAAATTTAGAATTTAAATAAATATTTATATTCAAAGGCCATAATGATGACGGGATGTTGCCACTTCAATTCATTAACAAATCAATTGTTTTGAGATAAGTTTAACAATCTAATTAATCTAATTAAAAAAAAAAAAGAAAGAACCTCGAAGTCGTGAGCCTTGTTCGATAATTTTATTAAGATTTCGAAGAAGTTTAAGCAATTCTTCATGATTATTACAACGTATTTTATGTTCAGTTATCATTGCTTGATTTAATGTATGCATTTTTTGATAGTATTTACTCATTAAACGACTGAAAAGAAAAAAAAATTTTTCAAAAATTCAAAAAATAATTGAAGTTATTTAATGTTTAATCAAGGAATTAATTATGATTGCTATCTTTTTAACATATCAAATGTGTTATTCATAAAGCAAAAAATTGGGAATTAAAAATTAAAAGTGAAATTGTTTGAATGATATGAAGGAATAATTGTTGATACAATCATCGTGATATCTCGGGGAAAAATACAGGAAATTTACAATTGATTGATAGTTCGGGCATCTTCAGCTCGTACTAACATTTCTTTGATCGAATTAGATCGTTCAGCAATCGTTGCAGATAATCGGTCACGCATTATATACATTTCATGTAGCTGTTAAAAAAAAAAAAAAAAAAAGAGAATTTCCATTTTGAAGGAAAACAAAAATTTTCAATCAATATTGCTATTTCTTACTATAATATACTTAATTCAATCAATTTGATGATTATTAGAGTTTTTTTTCTTCCTTTTTTGGATGAAATAATTTTTTCAAACAATTCATTCATTAAGTATGATCGATTCTTTTAGTTCAAGCAAATTCAATTCTCTTGTTTTGATAAAATTCCCGTCTTATCGAGGAGAAAATCTCCGTGAAAATGTATAAACACTCGAGAATGAAATTCAATATACCTTTTCTGTAATATCATTGAGTTTTGCAATTTCACGTGGAAATTGTGCCATTGTTTCTATTTCAGTGATTTCAAAGTTTCCAGCAATTGATTGGATGATATTACCAACTAATTCTATGTTATTGCTTTGAATTATTACCTATAAAAAAAAAAACAAATAGTTAAATTATTTAAATTAAATTTTTTTTGAAATATTTAAATTTCATTTTTTCTCTTTTATTTTTTTTCATCTACGCAAAATTTAATCGATTTCATTAATTACGAAAATACAAAAATGCCAAAAAAAAAATTGAATGATAGAAAATGAGATACTGCAATCAAATTCTAACCTTGAGTTTTTCTTTTGAAATGATAATTTCAAGGATTGCTTCAATTCGATAAATTAAAAAACTTGTAATTTAACTCTTTCTATTCAAAATTTCAATTCGCTTTCCCATTTTAGATAGAAAGAACTGACAATAACATTTAATTAATCAAAATGCTTATTTATTTCTATTTTTGAATAATTTATTTTTTTTATAAAATGGAAGTAATTAAAGTGAGAAAATTTTATTAGTAAATATTTAAGCTTAATTTGGTTGCTTTTCGTGAGCATTTTTTTGCAAGCTAATTTGAATATGGTAATGCTATCCATTGATAGCTAACTGAAATTGATAGATTGAATCAGATGATTGAAAAGTTTGATAAAATAAGTTTATCACAGAAAGATGAATTAGAATCGTAACAAGCATATCATTATGCTATTATCAGAACTTTTTTCATTTTATATAATTTAACCTAATTCATTGAAGACATTTATTTCACAAGTTTTCAAAAAATTACTAAAGAAAGGCAATTTTTTTTCTTTTCTTTTTTGACGGAAAATAAATTTTCCTAAAATTATTTTTCAAAAAAAAATCCCAAAATTTTTGGAATATTTAAATAAAAATGATTCAAATATAACCTTTCCATTTCCATCCATTTCAATAATCAATGATTCATTGGTTCGTAAACTAATAAAATTAACTTTTAGCTTGAATTCATCTTCGCAAATGATTTCATTAGCTAACAAAAAGTTATTATTAATCCAAATTGCTAACTGAAATAAACAATATGATTTCTGCAAAAAAAAAGAAAGTTTTGACAATTTGATTTTAAAAATTTTCATCGAAAAAATTAATTTTTAAGAAAAATTTTTTTTTTAAAAAGGTTTGGTAAATACAAAAATAAATTACCTGTGGTGGTCGTTCGTTAATTTGAAAAATAGCTTTCCCTTCCGGTTCTGGTGCATTTACCGTATCCAGTGCATACATTAGAAAACGTGGAAGGTTACGTGTTACTTCAAATACGTGTAATTGAGTGCTAAAATGTATGCATTATATTTAAAAAGATTATATTTTGCTTATATTTAACGTTTTTGATGATTTTTTCGAAGTGTTTCCGGAATTCATTCAGGAAATTTCAGTAATTTCTGATGAAACATTAAAATATTGCCAGAAAATTTTTGTTGTAATCGAATCACCGTTAAAGTATGCAAATTAAGTTTACAAAAAACTTTGTTTTTTCCTTCATACAAATCAAACAATTATTCATCTAACCTTTTTGTATTAACCAAATAATAAAACTATTGAAATAATCCCGAGAATTCGAGGAAATCGAAATAATCCCGAGAATTCGAGGAAAATATTGGCAAACCTTTTAGCATATCCTATGAGAGCTTTAATATGCAAATCAACAGCTACATCTTTGGCTGGTCGAAGTTGGATTGCAATACAGGAAGAATAATTTTCGGTTGGATGTCTAAAAATTTATTTATTTTTTTCTGAATTAAATTCCGGATTAATTGTTTTATTGGAAAAAATTAATTGCAACGAATAATTTAATTTATGAAAACAGAAAATACAAGGAATTACTAGATATTTGAAAGTTTTTCCGGATTAAATAATCATAAATAAAGGATACAAGAACAGGAAAAAAAATTACACAATGTATGATTCACCATCAAAGATACCATCAGCGAATAAAATGACCGATCGGATGATAACATCACCAGAGACAGTCAGTTGCAATTGAACACATGGTTCTTTTGATTGACAATTTACTGTTAAAGTAGTTTCCATAACTGTATTAGCCTGAAATGATCAATAAAAACTAAGTTTGTATGAATTTTGAAAATAATTTACCTACCTATTCACCTATATGCGTCATCTTGAATTTCGCTTTTTGGTAAATAAATAAATGAATGACAATAAAGTTTTGGGATTTGACATTCATAGATTACAATTGATATTCGATGAATTGTCACCAATTTATGCTTTTTTTCCAACCTAAATTCATTAAACCATCAAAAAGAAAAGGCTACAAACGTATAAATAAGTAATAAGATAAAGCGTAAAATTTGATGAACAGTTTGTAAATTCAACAAATCGACTATAAAAGATCGTAAACAATTGAAATGTAATAAAAGACGAAAAATGGATTGTGCGGAAGAAGAAAAGATTGATATTTTTACGTGTAAAACACGTTTGAAACGTGTAAAACGTACCGGAACGATTTGTTTATTTTCGTCATTTTCATTTGAAATTATTTCATTATTGCATTGCTCATAATTTTGTAATTCTGCCTGAAATTGAAGAGAATACAAAAGAATACAATAATAATAATAATAATAATAATAATTAATAATAAT